GTTGCCAACGTATATGTTTGTTCCCTTCAAAAATCACCCACAACTGTAAAAACTAGGACAATGTCAAAGCCTCTTCCACTCCAACACAAAGTCCCGGGCCTAAGCAAGAAAACACGTTTTTTTTGTTCAATATTAACTCAATGTAAATGCCGACATTGTTCACGACAAGGGTAATCGGTGGCCCTTTATTATTTATTTTAATATGCTATATTGTATTCCATATTTTGTAAATTCAGTACCTGGAAAGGATTGATATACTCGTGTATCATCAGCATATGAAAGATGTTTGTTTGCAGTGTTCCAAACTTTCTGGAGGAAGACTAGTGTATGTAGGAGCAAAATAGTAATGGGCCCAATACTGAGCCTTGCGGAACTCCACTTCTCATTTCGACGGTGTAGATAGGATATCCAGAAAGAATGTAATTAGAAAGTGGACTGACAAAGAAGAGCATAACATCAAGCGGCAAATGGGTTAAAATCTCATCTGCGAGGTGATGAGGAGACTGATCCTAGATCCCAGATTGTTCTCTAGCCAACATTGCGAAAAGGACATCTGACGTTTACCGGACGCATGGACCACATGACACCGAAGTACACTTTCATCATAAATTTCGTGGTAAAAGTTACAAACCGTGAAGATGAACGATTGAAGGTCATCCCCAGAACATGTTTGGCAGAAGCACCCCGTATATAAAGGCATCGAAAACCAAACATGACAGGGAAGCTTGAATATAGTATAGTGCCGGAAGTATCAAATTCATTTGTCTTAGCTCCCCAATGATTGATTTTGGATGCATTCTTAGAATTTAAATTTTGGTCGAAACGATTCTTAAATTTCTTATTGAGAAATAATCTTAAATAAGTCTAAATAAAAGTCCGCGATATAGTCTATATCTACCTCTCATGTGGTATATGGATACTTTTCTACAATGCACACTTTAGAATATCTGTCAAATTACGAATCGTTTGAAAGCTATCACGATGAGAATAAAGTGACGCAACGCAGTAAGCCATTACGCGTCGCGTCTACTGTAAGACAACATGATACACCATCACCGAGAACACGACCCGAACGCGGGCAGACGTCGTTGACGGTTGTGAATAGTGTTGTGAATGTATAGGTATAGTCGAAGTAAACGATATTATGCACTCTCAAAGTTGGCGGCACTTTCAAAGGCCAAAAAAACCAATGCATAGAAATGAACCGGCTGCGAAATAGTCCACGTGTAGTGTGAAATTAGCGTTTGGTATTGGATAATTTTTACTAACCGAGTACTAATAGTAATAACGAATGTGATAACAACGCAGACTTTTTCCAGTGTACTGATTCCAATAGCGATGGTGAACAATGCGAAAAAGAGATACCAGTGAATAAGATTCACTGGTATCTAGCCCATTTGATGATCGAAATGTTTCCTACTCGCATCTCGGTAGAAGCCACATTTCTATTCACGACGCGTTTTCATACCGTTCTTTCTAAGGCATTTGATTGCGTTGATCATAAGATCTTGCAAAGAAAAATTCACCAATACGGCTGCAGAGAAACGACGCTCAAATGGTTTGAATCTAACTTTTCAGGAAAAAATCAAATGGTAAGAACAACAGGACTTAAAAAAAAANTGATTCATACAAAACAAAGTCACCTTCACAAGAAACTGAACACACTACGCCTATGCAGATAAGGACGCTTGATAGTGAAGAAACCGAATGACTAGTTATGGCATTTTAAGGACACAAATATATTAGACCTGCGAAGTGTTGATCAGTTTACCGATGTTTCAAAGTATTTACCGAACTGGTTCACCTATTCGCTCGTACATCCTATCGATATGCAGAAGCTATCTTGTTACGGGGGCAAATTTCATGGAATCATCTTACTTTTCAATTATTTACAACGGCGATGCATAGACAATAAAAATGACCCCGGTAAGAATTTAGTTCTAACATTTAACATTGTCGCCGTTAGCTCTCACTTCAATTTGTATATGAGTTACCTTCAATTGAAAATTTTCAGACTATAATCGAACCAATATTCACATTGAATTCATCCCCAACACATGACGGACACCTCATCATCCCTAATGCATCAAACCAAACAGAGCAATTAGCACCATCGAATTACAATAATTCGCGATGGAATTATTTCCACCGATTCGGGAAAATTGAATGGGGTAGGTAGCGAGTTCGAAGGGTCGTCCGGCAGCGACACCCCTCACAAAACGTGTATTTCTTGCCTGCGGCGTTTCCCTTTCTCTGTTCCATTCGATATCATTACCCCCCGCCCCCCGGTCCCTCGCAGCTGTTGCCGCCGCCTCTGCCGCATACAAAAGAACCTGCATCTCGTATTCATAAATACCATTAAAAACGGATAGCCGGCTACAATTACGTTCGAAAATACGTTTATTGTACAGAGAGAAACTATTCGTTAGGTATGTGTTATTTTCAACGATATTTGTTCCCTGTATCCTATTTTGATCTTTGTATTGTGGTGTTTATAATAAAGACTGGACAGAGGCGTCGGTCAAACCAATTATTATAGGGTATCAATAACAAACCGGGAATGTAAAAGTCTTGTTTGTAGTCCAGTATTATTATGAGAAAAAAATTTAACGGATATAAATGACGCAGAAAAGAAGTTATTCAGTATTTTTCAATTCTGTTTGCAGGAATGGATTATTGGAAGTTGGTTCTACGAGAAAACGTAAAGCGCGTGTGTTGGAGTTAACTTTTTATCGCACAGCTTGCCAACTTCATTGCAAATGGGAGCCTAAAAGGGCTGACATTGAGATTTATGAGGGATGAGAAGAACAACTAGGTAAATGGAGAAGATGTAGGTAAGTGAAAACATGTTGCCATTGAAGTCTATGAGAACTGAATGACAAGATCTTTCAAGTACTAACTGAAAGATATTCCAAGGGCTCAGATCTGGGGAATACAGTGGACGCAAAAGCAATTTGAAGCCCAATTCATGCCATTTTGCCATCGTTTTCAATGACTTGTACAGTGTCTCGACGAAACATCACTCTCCCTTTCTTCAAACGGAGCCATTTTTAAGCGATTTCGTACTTTAAACGCTCCAAAAGCGCTATGTAATAGTCGTTTTTCATGGTTCTTTCCTTTTCAAAGGTTGAGTTTCCTGGTGCAAAGTCCGAATCGAAGCAATGCATCAACACAAAAAATTCATTTCTATCCATTGTCTTCAAACCACCACAAATTACTTTACTCAAAATGTTCTATCCTACAAACTAACAGTCCAACAGCTGTGCAATTTGTACACAAGCCCCTAAAAATCATATGTTTCAACCCATCTATTGTTAAATTTTATATTTTCAACACTATTTTTTATAATTTATATTTTATTTTTATATTCCTTTCAATTCCTTTCCTTTATATTCCTTATAATTTGAATTNCCATTTTTTTCACTTAATTGTTTATAACTTTTGTAATTTTTATCGGCGCGTTTTCGGACCTTTCCTTAAACTTTCTAGGCAAAAATACGAATCGAATGACACCTTGGTCGTAATTTTTGGACAGGGCTTTATTCACCTCCATGATGGAAAATACATAGTTTCCAAGATTCTATTTAAAAAAAAGCATTTATACCAACTCCTAACACGAAATCTATTATAAAACCGCACAAACGATAATTCATTCTTGGAAATACATCCTATACTTACTCCGATTTTAATGCCGCATGAATTCGAGATCGCAGAATTAACATTCACCGAAGGTAAACAGGCACGTTAATATTTCACAAATTTATGTAGAAAATACCCCGTTCGAATAACAAATTCACGCAGGAAGCTGAATGAAATACGAAATATGATTTTATCGATCTGATACGGTCTCCTTGGTCTCCTCGCAGGGAGTTCGAAATAGAGAAAATTGTGTACAGGATGTTACAGAACCCAGTGGCGCAACTGGGGTAAGATTTCCAGAGGGGTCCTACTGAATGGCACCGAAGCTTGGGGAGATTCTTATCGTTTACGAGATCCCCATGTACAGAAACGAATTTGAATAGCCCTGTATATTACCGTCAGTAACACAGTTTCCAAATATTTTTAGAAAATGCTCATCTTGTGTAAGAAATAACGAGAAAAATAACAACGAAACAAACCATAATCTTGAATGTCTCAGAAAAAACATTGAAAAACATCAGTTGAGGATATTTCCACTTTTTCTCCTATAAAATGATAGAAAATTCAAGAAATGAACATAAACTTCAATGTCAACCTTTCTGACGAAATAATTTGGCACATAATTTCATGTAAAAATACTTAATTAGTGTCACAACAAAACATTTACATGAAAAACATTTAACACGTTTGAATGCGAATTGCCCAAATAATAGACAAATCTAGCGCTGCATGCTTTTTACTAACAATGTGATGATTAATAAACAATCTGCAGGGAACAATCTAGAATATGTAACGCCAACCGAGCTCTATAGAATGTAATTAATTCCATTTAACGTGCGTTTGAGATAAACCAATTTAAAATCGACTAACGAACGATAACAAAAAGTCCACCGCAAACTCCATATCTCATCGATTTAGATTCAAACGCATCGTTCTGTGCAATTTCCTAAGCATAACTTTCAAATTACAATAAGTTCGGATATAGAAATAACTCCGAGAAATAATACTTGTCATATAAATGAAGTAGAAAGAGACACATAAACTAGAGTGGGATAATCTTTGTAAACCGGCTCAAGTTGTATAGCTCCACTGGAGGGAATTCTGCGCACGATTCCATAATAGCGGCAAACGAAGTCGATTTTGGTCGGTCTCAATGCTGTAGAAGCAGGTAAATACGGAACGCTTCATACGAACGGGGGTTTGAACACCCGACAAACCAAGGCTTCATTTACATTGAAAATAGTTAAAAAGGAAAACTGATTTATAATTAAATGACTTCCATAATTACAGCTCCTCATAAAATTTAGCGATACTATTGTGTTTTACTGTTTTCGAATCGAGGAAAATATAATTTTTCTCACCTCTCCGTGGTCGGATCTCCCCTCTGGAGTATTTTCCGGTAAAAAATAAAGTCTCAGACTGGCCAGCACTTGTTCACTATTTTTGTCGCACCACAATAATTGTAATTCACCGATACACAACAAGTCGGAGTCTCGCCACATTTTGACAAAGAAAAATTCACTCAAAGTCACTATTCTCTTGATACCGTTTTTCGAATATTTAAACGCCTTGTAGAAAGTGTAGGGGCCGTGTTGGCCGCAAGGCCCCCCGACCAACTGAAAATAAAAACAAGATCAGTTACTCCAACAAAAAATTACATGAGCACGACAGTTTTATAAATAACTAAAGCGATTAGATATAAAACGATAATTTGCTGTGTATTTGTGAACGACTTATTTGAGCACGACTTAATACAAAGCACAATACGGAAATTATAATTTATCGAAAATCCCAACAAAACCTTGCATTCGAATGAATTAACAGCAACAATCGCGCCGATACCGAAAAAACGAAACTGTCAAAGCCCGAAGACGTGATTAAACATAATTTAATTATAGACTCTCGATTAATTAATATTTATAGAAAGTCACAATAACAAACAGCCATTAAAACTCCTTCCCGACGTCCTAAAATTACCGTTTCTTCGCCAAAATATGCCGAACACACCAATACACAACGTGAAATATTTTCATACCTGTACATCGCTATTATCCATATTTTTATCCCAATTAATCACAGAGCACACTACAAACAACACGCTGACACGGACATCTACTTTGTATTTACTCTAATTATGTGACGTCACGATACAGAGCTACATCGTCGGCTGTCGGAGTCGTTCGTCTTCGGCTCGGCCAAACTGGCGCTTTGGGATAAATGGAGGAGGAGTGTACACAAAGAAATTGACAGTGAAGCCGCGAACAAGTTGGTGTTCCTTTTCTTGAAAGTGAAACGGTGATGTAAGTGGATCCGACGACTTCGGAAAGATAATATGTTTGGTGTGGAAAGCGAGTTCGTTTGGATATGTTCGATATCGACGCGAATGAGAAGGTAATTAGTTGTTTGTTCTCGCCTGTGGAGTTTGTTGACGTTCTGCAATCGTCATGGCCTTCTGGATGTAACCTTTTCCGGGAATCGGGGCAGATTTCTGGCGATGGGACTGGTTTGGATTTCGTTCCTTTGCGAAACTCGATGTGGTTAGTGGATTTGTTTCATTATTATTTGGTATAAGTGTAATTATACATCCCGAGTTACTGCGCGCAGTAATTTCGTAGTCATTATCAATGATAATCTCTCAGTTTACTATGTAGGTGAACAACTGCATATCTTTTTTTGTAATGATCAAGTCTAGAGAACTTAGATCTGGGGATTTAAGAGGCCGTATTTCTTGAGAGGTTTGTTGATTTAAATTCGGATTCCCAACTGATTATTGCAAATTGATTGGGTCATATTTCTTAGTGTTTATTTTTTGATATTGTTTTATACAGTTATGATAACCCAGTTGAGAGAAGTGGCAGTAAATATGGTTACGGTGTTTAATAAGTATTGTCAGGTTTGAATGACAAATACTGTAGTTGCGCAAAAAATAGATCTAGTTTGGTTAGTAAATGATTTCAGGTTATTAAGTTAATTTGGGCATTCAATTTATGATAATTTTGAAGTCAATCATAGCGATAAAGCGATATATCTATTGTAATGACAACGTTTGACATACCGCACAAAATCCGGGCTATCGGTAGTCCAATAATTATTTTAACTGGTGGATCAAATAAACAAATAATCTTTGGCCCTTCTACGCTTCCATACCAAATAGCAACTCAGTAAATTTTTTAACATTCTTATTGGAAAAATGTTGATTGTTGAAGTGGAACGTATCAAGGAAGGAGGACCTAGTGAATAAATGCGGTAATAGAAAATCTGCCCACCTATTTGGAAACGAAAGAGGCAAAAGAAATTTTATCCTTCACAATCATAATTCGCTTTAACAATACAGTGATTCCTTCGACATATTTCCTAATCTTCTATTAATGGTTCAGGTAAAAATTTCATTGATTATTCACTAGATTACATTTCTGGGTCTGTGAGGGTTCTTCTGAACGCAAAAGGAATTATTCTAAGGGTGATATTTGTGACAGTGATTCTTTACTATCTCTGTACCTACCCAACAGATATTCTTTCAGAGGTAAACGAGCTAGTATCTAGTAGTCTAATCAACAAGTTCAAAAACATGAAAAATAGAGATGAAGGTCCTAAAAATATGAGCTCATTCGATTCGGAATCACCTCTAGAAAAATGTTTTTGAAGGATTTTGGTGCAGGTAAAAAATTGCAATTGTTATTAACAGAATAAGATTTAAAAAAAATGTCAT